TCAGCGGGCTCGACGGGGTCGACGGGCTCAGCGGGCTCAGTGGGCTCCGCCTTGGTGTGCATTCTCTTAGCATTCGTCATTGCGTCCATGTTATTGCGTCCATTTAGCGGCGTCATTGCGTCCATTTAGCGGCGTCATTGCGTCCATTTAGTGGCTACGTTGTTATCTTCGCTTACATTAATTATATAAGTGCGCCTGGGGCCCCCAAATCAATATCGCTTCAATACGTTAAGGGTAGGGGGGGGTCGTAAACTGAAACTTCAGCTGACCTCCTTCGGAGATCGCTTTCGTGACACACCAATCTAGACTGCTGATGAATGCATAAGAATGGAGTAGTATTGAAACAGGGAGACCTCCCAGTTCGACAGAAGTAGGGATGATATAGACCAATCTACCCATGAAACCACCGGCACACCTTGCCTGTTCGAATACACGACCTAATGCGGAATAACACCCCCAGGCTCCATACTACATACCTGAATCAACTTGAGAATCTCCGTGTTTGGGGGTCTCTGAATTCATCCGGTTGTCTACAAGACACCCACACTCAATGTACATTAGATTCTGTCAGTTCTCGTAACTCTGACTAGCACCACGCGGTCGGTTTGGTTCACCTCCACACACTCGAAGTTGCAGTCGATGCCATCAGCACGGTCGTCCGCATAGATGGGACAATCTTTGGGGCATTGCACAAACTTGTCCTTGGAGCTCTTGGTTTGGATTGAACAGCTCGTCTTGCATCCAAGAGATTGAAACCTTGGGGACCTTGTACAAAAGGTTTGGAGAAACAACTGCAAAAGAAAGAGGACCAATCTGCCTTGCCAAGCCTCGCTGCCGGAGTCCACCACTTTCTTGTCATGGCACTTGGGTCCTGGAGCACCTCCATAGAGCCAGGCCTTTGGGGAACGCCCCACCAGATCCACAGCAAGGGACTGGTGACCACTGTGGAAAGGCCTCGCGCGGAAAGCCCGGCGATGAGGCTTCAGTTGGAACCTGGTGAAGAGTTTCTGTAAGCTGAACATCAAAACCCACAAAACCATGCCAAAAACCCCACAAAGGGTGGATTCCTTGATGTGTCGTTCGTTTGGAGTGGCATGCCCGGATGCCGTTCACTCTTTGGCACGCGAAAAAACGCGGTGCCTGGCCAAGGCCAGGACCAAGAAGGTTGAGGTCAAAACGAGCTGCATTGCAACAGATACGCCACGCGGTTTTCGGACAACCGCGAGGAAAACCGCACGTCTAGCCAGAGACGGCTGCGAGGCCGGGGGTTAGTGTCGGTGGTTTTGGACAAACCGTGCTGGCATCACGGGCGTTATGTAATATATATATATATATCATCGTATATATAAATATATCTTTCGGCACCAGCTCAAGGAGGAATCAAACAAGGCACTGAGTGCCTGAGTGCTACATTCATCCAAGAGGCTCCCATCTTCTCTTCCTTCTTGCAAGAGGCTCCCATCAGGAAGTATGATCACACTCCTGCCAAAGCGCACCACGAACTCTTCCAGGAATCTACCAATACGACTCACATCAACTGATCCCCAAATAGATGGTGGCACGGTTTCCAATACAGTTTAGTAGGGATCTACGGGGTCTACACACTCTACACACTCACTCCGAACATCCCACCACATCCCACCGGTCCAACGACCGTCCACGACCCCATGCGGTTTCGGCCTCGACGACGCCTCGTCACCTCGGCAGAGTGCACCCAATCCTGCGGGCCGCAGAGGCCGCAGAGGCCAGAGCGAACGGTGCAGAGGTCGGGCGTGCCGTGAGCCGCGAGCGGAATAGGTGTCGAAGAGTGGAAATTGGCATGAGAAAAGCCTCTTACAGAATCTCTTAAGATCCAACCAACAGCAACAGGAGGCCCAAGAACCATGAAGAAAGCACAGTTACGCAAAGCACGGTCAAAGCACGGTCAAAGCACCACACGGTCCGCTCCTGTCAGAATGACAGCGCCACAAAGGTGCATGGCTGCCATCCATCGCGCCCGAATCTGGAGTCGTTGGCCCAGATGGAATCCGCAGGAATCCGCCGGAAGTGTTGCGTTCGTGTCCATGTGATTTGTGCCAAGCGATCAACTGACTATAAATGACTGATGACCAATAATAGACCAATATGATGCAAGTCCGGCACATGATGGCACATGCACATTGACGTGTCACTTAAGCCTGTAAGCCTGTTGTTAAGCCTGTAATCAGACTCATCACAAATCACAACCTCTTCCCAGCGATCAGAGTGGAGCAAACACACAAAAAAGATCAGGTCCCTGAGTCCTTTCGACTTGCCTCTGCACGTGTCTACACTGGCGAAGTATCCCGTGACCCTGGCTCCGCATGGCTCTGCAAGTTCGTACACGACAAAAAGGTCCAGGCGGTGACTCGTACGCACATTTGGCTCACGAATGAATGACTCGTCATCCGAGTTGCTTTGTACAGGTGCCATGCTTTAGCATGGCGGCCAATCCCTGTCACAGTCTCCGACGTCTTCCATTAACAGTCATATGGCCGTGGGATATACGTACATGGATATGCTGGTTGCCTATCTAGCTGGTGGACCGGTCGTTCGTGTAGCCGTAGATACGTACATGGTGGACCGGTCGGGCTGCAGGTGTGGCATCTTGACCGGAGCAAAACCATATTCTCAAATGGGTCGGGCTCCAGGTGTTAGGTCCATTGATCTCCGAAACTGCCTTTCACACCGACAAGCCGTCGTTTTTGTTGGTTCACCCGCCCCCCCCAAAACCAACAAAGCCTTTTCAGAGACGCGGAAAAGAAAGGGCTTAGCTCGGCTGTCTTAAGCCCTTCAGACTCCCTAGCCCAGCACATGGTGTGGATCCAGCGCAGCTTTCAGACTCGTTAGGGCCACACCTTGACCGCCCGTCCCGCACGCCCGACGGTCGAACCGGTCGAACCACCGGGGTCTTTCACGTGGGGCACCGCAGCTTTCCGGCACGGCCCGGTGGAAGCGCATGGGCGAAAACGAAGACCACTTCTTGTTTTGCCCCTTAATTAAGTAGGAGCCTATATACTTCATTATATAAGTACAGTAAGGGAGAGGTAGCCAGTACCTGACTTAAGCTACTTAGGACGCAGGATAGCTCAAGCCTCTTCAAGGAAGCTCCCCCAAGGCGGGGGAAGCTTCCTTGAACAAGCGCTCGCACTAATGATTTGGTTCCTAGATGGTTCGTACACAGTTTGATCTTATTTAACCTTACCCGGGGCCCGGGGGTAACTTAACTCAGGAGCAAGAGAATGTTCAAAGAGCAAGAGCTCCCTAGCATTCGAACAACCGTTGTTCTAATGGTCTTTACCCAAAGAACCACTGTTTTACTAAGGATGTTTACACTACACCACCAGGTCAACCATTCTTTTAATGGTCTTTGAAGGCTAGGGAAGAGCTCTTTATCTGACATACTTCCAAACTTGCAACGAAAAAAATGCTCGTCTTCCAGACTTCCCACGTCTGACATGACGTGCCGAGAGCGCCTGTATCTTGTTTCCAACCTGGGTCTGCCTGCTGTTCCAGGACTCTTCGAGCTGCATCTTGAAGGCCCTGAAAGGCCTCCAAGGCAGCTGCCCACTCGAAACCTGCCAGATCTCTCACATGAGAGGAGATGCTTCGAAAGGCACATTGTCTTGTTTCAATTGCATGACTTTCTAGGACACTGACTGCCGGTCAGTCTCCTCTGATTGAATTGCAGAGGATCGCAAAAAGCAACGACCTGTTCACAAACCAGCTGGTCGCCACAGTCCCTCCTGTCTCCATCAGTTTGCTTTCGCATCAAAGAACACCATCGAGACGTTGGCGCAGCTGTTTGGCGTCGGACCAGTGCCGACTGGTGTCCTCTCCACGCCCTGCGGTCCAGTTCCTTGAGAACCCCAGGAGTCACAAGACGAGGTGGTATTCAGTCCCATCCAGTGGATGTGACAGGGGCACCCCGATCGCCTTCATGGATCGCACCCCGTCTTGTGACTGGACTGTCTTCATGTCTTTTTTAATACACGACCGGATCAGCCGCCCGATGGAATGCAGCTCCCCCTTTCATGCGAAAAAGGGGGAGCTGAATGGAAAAGGGGTGGTCCTTGGCTCCAAGGTAGAATAGGTTGATCTACTTGGGTCGTATTAATACCTAGATCCTGCAACTGTGCCCAAATGTCTGCCAAACTTGGTTTTGATCGATGAAAACATATGAAAAGGCATCAAGATGCAGCACCGGCACGGAAGATCCAGGTATGTATGAGTCTTGGAACCACAGCGAGTTGGATGAGGCCACGAACCCGCCGAACTGACCGACATGCGCCATGCGCCTTCGACAGACGTGGCGATGGAGAGGCGCAAAAGGCCTCCTTCCGTGGAGGGCAGCAGACCTAGCAGGCTCCAGTTGGGCGTCGTGACTCCCAGTCATTGGCAGGAATTGAAGGCTCACCTAAGAGTCCCAAAAAGAACATGAAGAAACGCTGACGGCATCACAAAACTGCAATTGGTCGGCCTTGTGTTTCGCATTGTTTCTCTTGCCTCGAGTTCTGCTGTGACATCTCCCCTGTGATGCTTTCATCATCGCGTCCGATGCCCGCGCCTTTCCAAAGCTTTGCCACGCCCGGTAATTGCAAGGCCTGGTGCTTCGCCGCCGTGGCCTGAACCCGCGTCGGCGTTGGTGGGAAACCCGCCGAGAGGTCGTTTTCCAGTCGGGCTCGCAGCGTTCGCTCCGACCACCTGAAACAAGAAGCCCACATGCACATGACTAGGCACATGACGACTAGAACATACGAACGAACCTTCATGCATCTTCTTCACAAAAAGGAGCACTGGACACTTGTCCAAAAACCTGCACAAAACGTTCTTGCAAGTCCTCAGCTTGTCTGCCACCACCATGCGATGCTGAAAAAAGTACCTGAGACGCGAGCCTCCACAACAGAGGGCCACTCAAGACCGGAGATACGGCTCCAGGGCAGCAAGAGCTCAAAGGACTCACAAAGGATGCTGTAGTCCATACCTGAAACAAGAAGGAAGCATCCCGAAAGCGTCGGATGTTTTCCAAAGAAAAACCGCCCCAAACAACGGAACTCCATATGACCTGGCTGTTACCGCCTGGCGTCGGAACAACAATTGACCTCTTCATCAGAAGCAGAAACAAAGGCGGCAGAGT